TATATATATATATATATATATATATATATACACACAGGGCTTTGGAGTCTAGGTTAAAAAACTGGCTTTGGCTCCAGGCTCTGGCTCCATTAGAATCTGGCTCCAGCTTCGGAGCAGCTTCGGAGCAGCTTCGGAAAAGCTCCGCAAAAAAACAAATCAAATTTTTTTTTAATGTTTTAAAAAATTAAAATAATTTTGGTCACACCTCCTTCTTTCTTTTTTATCACTTTTATCACTACAGTACTTCTTTTTATCACTTTTATCACTACAGTACTTCTTTCACTTAAAACTGAAAGAAGTACTGTAGATAGCACAGCAGTATTTCTTATTTCTTGACTTTCTATTATATTCTTGGCATCACTTTTATAGTTTTTTTCTGCTATTGTTTTTAAGCATCGTTTTGCTTGTAATATTTGGTTTTCTTCTAATAGTATTCTATATCTAGCATCAACATAAACTGCAGCTAGAAATATCTCGCTATCAAAAGGTTTTTCTACTTGCTTCTGCATAGATTTTGAAATGTCTTCTGCAAATAGTCCTTGATTCTTCTCTCGGTCAGACTTTAATTTCAACCATTCCTTTACGAACTCTCCTGGAGTAATGTCGATTAACTGTCACATCATGTGGCTTTTTTAAAAAGTTGCAAAGATGACTAAATTTATCCATATTTCAGGGGGTAGAAAGAATATCTTATCAACTGCAGCAAATTGCTCACACTGGACGCAAAAGTAATAATCTTTCAATTATCCGGAATGTAGAACCCCAGCGTGTCTCATTATCCAAAATTGAAACAACCTTGTACTGCTTCTTTGCTAAAAATAGTGTATGTAAGTTTCTTAGCTTCTTTACAACATAATGGACTTTTACCAAATATTGGGTAATATTTTTATTTTTTAAATCATACGAATAGCTTGCTGCAAAGTGTGAATAACACAGCATATCAGCTTAATGTCAGTAGACGATTGTTGACACCATTCTCTGGGTTGATAAAGGCTAGATTTTCTTCCTGATCCTTCACTTTCTTCTTCGTTTGTATCCTGTTGTAAAAATTCCACTTTTTCTTAATCATTCAAAGCTTCATCTCAAAAATTTTCATCACCTGAATATTTGTTTAAAATTGTGATTGCTCTAATCATTTTGTCTGCATTGTCTACACTTGCACATACTATTTGATTATTGCTGATACCAAATCTATATGGAGTATCATCCACCATTTTTTTGATAGCAATAGGGTTGTGCTATCCTTGTGTATCTATCAGTGCCAAAATTTTTAATTTTTTTTTTGCATAATAATATTGAATATTTATTTACAAACAGTTATTTTTTTTGTTGAGTGGCTGCATCTATTTTAACATAAATAAATTTCTGTAACAATATTTTCTTTATTTCAGCTTTTTTTTTCTCCTGCAAATTCATTAATCAAATTGTGTACAGAATTGTGTCCGGTACTGAATCCAAAAGTTTTACCTAATTGGCCTGTAACCAACTGAAATCCTTTATCCACAAATGTTTTCAACAAAACTCTGTTATTCACTACCATTTTAATAGTTCCAATATTATAAATTTTAACACTAACTTGATTTGTTGTTCATCTACTCGCAATAACAAAAGAATCTAAAGTAATCTGTTTAGGTTTTTTAGTATTGAAATCTTGTGAATGTGATAAAATAATTTTGAAGATTTTCTTTGGGCCATAAGGCTCATTTCAGATTCAACAACTTTATATTCTGATAGATGTGATTTTTCCAAATGCTGTTTCATATTGTAAATTTTTGGTTTTATTATTTGCATGGCGCATGAAATTACTCAATAATTTAACTATTCCAAAAAGTCAGTGCTCTACAGTTGCATTTTTTTTAGTTCTGCCACCAGCTGCTGCCCACTGTACTTCAGGGTGATTGAAATCACCAATTATTTGTTACTCTATACCTTTTTTTCTTTGCTAAATTTGAAGTAGAAATTAACCTACAATTAATTGTTCTGTTGAGTTCTACGCTAGCTGATGGTTCTTGATAAAACATCCAAAAAGGAATTTTTTACTTTTGTGAGATATTATACACCATACCTGGCCAGACATGAAGCTCAATTGCATTAAAGTAAGATACTTGTATATCTTGTCGTATACAAGTTGCAACAAACACCATATTAATTAGGTCTGTTGTTGTTAAAAAGATTGTAATTTGGTAATTGGAAGCTGGTGTAATCATTGAACCAAGTTTCTGTAATTGCCACTATCATAGGGGAATTTAATGTTGTGACAGTTGCAGCAAGAATGTCCATTTTATTACAAAGTGATGAAGCACTTGTATAGAAACAGGTGATTTCACTTAAGGCTGTACTTTTATTCTATTACTACTGCTGCTAGATTTTTTGTTGATGGTTATGGAGATGGTGTTTCTGTTACAGATAGTTGGCTGGACATGCTTTTTACTAAACACCAAGTTGTTTATTAATTGCTAACAACTCAGGATATTATCTTGATGGTTCTGGTGTTGTACATGTTGTAGCACTTGTGGTAGACCTTTTTGCTAAAAGTAGTTAGATTCAAACTCTGAAAGCTCTACTGTTATTTTTTTCAAAACTCTATTTCTTGCGACATAAAAAGACTTTAATCTGTTGTTAACATCACAACGCCTACCCATGCTATCCTAGTGTTTCATGTTTCATTTAGTTTACCTATTTATTATATATTTATTTATTCATTTTTTAGTGAAGGTGCACTATTCAATCTTCAATTAAGAAGCTTTTATAAGCTGAAAAATTACAAGAAAATGTTTTTACAACTTACCGCTCTTTATACAGATTTCTAACTCTCCCATTTTTAATAAAAGACTCTGATAAAGTATTTTGTGACTTAACAAATGATTTGGTTTCATCAGAGTCAGAGTTTTCTAACCAATGATATGGATTTGGAATATTTATTCCATGATAGTTATCATATTTTTCTTCATCACGCCAAACAATAGGATAATTTATTTTATTCATACTGAAAAAAAAAAAGGCATTTTTAAATGTTAACTGTTATCATCGGTTAACTTCATATTTTTTTCTTTTATTTTTATTGTTTTTATATATATATATATATATATATATATATATATATATATATATATATATATATATATATATATATATATATATATATATATATATATATATATATACACACATATATATATGTATATATAAATGAATTTAAAAAATTTTTGAATAAAAAATTTTTTTAGGGGTTGCTCAAGACCCTTAAACATCATGGGTCCTTAAAACTCTGAAAAAAAAAGTTTTTCAAAAGCATATCATGTTGGATCTCAAAAGAAGCAAACTTTTATAAAAGTTTTAAAAAATTTTATGGAAACACAAATTTATTTAAAAACTTATGTAAATATACTTTTTTTTGTTGTTGTTAAAAGATTGTTTTTGAATGTTTTATAAAATTTTCTTTTGACACTTATATTTATATATATATATATATATATATATATATATATATATATATATATATATATATATATATATATATATATATATATATATATATATATATATATAAAATGCGGTAGTGGTGTAGTGGTAGAGCGCTCGCTTCATAAACGAGTGGTTCCGAGTTCGATCCCCACCACATCCCTGGTAGTACCGCGCTCAACTCGTTTCTCCGCGCAGCGGCCTTGCTCGTCAAGGTTTGTGTTTCGGAGTTATAGAGTTGAGAGAGGGTTATAACCACAAATAAGTAGCCTCCTCGTCTGTAGTGGCCTTCTCGGCCTTGAGGAGGTGAATTAATATAAAATATATATATATATATATATATATATATATATATATATATATATATAATATAAATAAGTCATTCAAATTACATAGTTAACGTTTTTCAACTCTTGCACAATTTAAACAACTGCTCTTTTTTATCTGCAGTAGAGAATCTGATCTTATTAGCATCAAGTCTAGGAAGTTTGCTAGAAGAACAGATTGCGTCTGGTATAAAAAAAGGAATAATGGAGACTAATGAAATTGCCAATTGGAATAGTTTAATTTGTCTTCTGGTGGAAACCCATTGACAATTACAGTTGGATGTCCTGATAAAAAAGCGAAGAGAAGGTACTCATATACTGTTGAGTACATAGGTATGAAAAAGGAAGATATTTATTTTTTGTTCATTTATACTCAAGTCAGTAAAACAAGTATCTCTTCAGGTGATTAAAGAACTTGAAATGGTATTAGAACTTTCCTTGAGTAATACAGGGTTGCTGATATCTACTCTTCAGAAAGGAATGGGAAGCAAGGCAGCAGTAGAAAACAATACCTTTGGAAAAATGAGTGACCTAGAAGAGTCCACATCATATTTTTATCAAGCAGAAAAGGTAGCAATAATACGTTCTTCAATAATATAAGTTCTTCTAAAATTTTTTGTTATTTTTCAGGTCAACTTCCTTCACATATAATTATAACTAAAAGCTATAAAAGATATTGTTCTGTTCAAGACACATCAAGTTTCATTCTAGATCTATCAGCATCTAGGAAGTGACCGGGGCTCCTGCCAAATATGGAGTTTTACACAACCTCCTGGCTAAACAATAATTCTAGCAGGTGTTATTTGCCAGGGCTAGGATATTTTATCTTTTACACACACACACACACACATATATGAATATATACACATATATATATATTTATTTTATATTTAATTTATATTTTATATATATAAGATATATATATATATATATATATATATATATATATATATATATATAATATATATATATATATATATAATATATATATATATATATATATATATATATATTCACATATATAGTATATTATATAGTATATATTTCACTACAAGGAGATAACTACGGGAGTAGAGCATGAATACAGGTCCTACTATTTGCAGTGTAATCAGGTAACTACATTATACGTTTTATGTTATAGTCAAGTTGTTTGTAAGGTAGGTCTGAGAATCAGACTTCAATTTAAGTATAATTTTAGAGAAACTCAATTTACAAGATGTTAAGTTTTCAGCCACTTTTGATTTGAAATGTGCTAATGCAGTTTTTGGAATTTCAAGTCACGCAATAAAAAAAGCTTGTTTTTGGTGTGAAGGAGACTCAAGTGAAGTGTGTGGTAAATTACGAACAATTGGAAGGTACACTGTCGAAAATAAATCACGAAAAGCTAATATATATATATATTTTTTTAAACATCTTCGCTTTTAACAAGGCTGCAAGCAACCACTAATTAGTGTTGGAAGTTATTGGAAAAGAAAAGATGAAAACAAGATGAAGGAAGCGAATTCCAAAGAACTGATGTTATAGGAAAAAAATTAGACGTGTTAGAGTTTTTGGAGCACTTAGGAACAGTAAAAGAAAAAGGATGAGACTTGAATGACGATGTAGAACTGAATGACGATTATAACGAGAGTGAACTTTAGTAGATGGCACAAGAGACGCTAGCTCTTTAGAGCAGTGCCCATTATAGTATTTGTAGAAAAGAGAAAGAGAAGCAACATTACGGCGATGTGATAATGGTTGAAGGTTGGTTGCAAGAGCAGGTCCAACTATGTTTACAATCCGTTTTTGCACCTTGTCTAAAAGAGAAAGGGCATCATTAGAAAATTCCCCCCCCCTCCCAGATATGGCAACAGTATTCCATACAAGGTCGGATTTTATTTTTATAGAGATAGAGAATAGAATCAAGAGTAAGAAAGTGTCGAGCCTGATAAAGAGATGCAACTTTAGCAGATGCTAATTTTGCAACAGATTGAATATATGGTTTCTAAGAAAGATTAGAAATAAGAGTTAATCCTAGAAGATGAAGGGTAGATGACTCATCAAGTACATTACCGTTCATAAATAATGGCGGATAAAAATATGGGCATAATTGAAGACGACGAAACGTATTGCAAGGCGGATTTTTCACAACTTTCTGGTCAACAGTTTTACTATGAAAACAAAGATAAACCTGTCAATGATCAATTTAAATATAATCGACGAGAAAAATTTGCATCCAAGTTCCTTGTGTGGCAAGCAATTTGTAGCTGTGGTATGCAGTCCTTATGTTTTGTCACTAAAAAGACCTTGACTGCCAATCTCTACATCAAAGAATGCCTCCAAAAAAGACTTTTGCTTTTTATAAAAAAACACAAATACGGATGTCTTTTTTGGCCTGATCTTGCTGTCTCTCACTATTCTAAAAAAGTTTTACAGTGGTGCAAAGATAATAATGTAAAAATTGTTCCTAAAGATGCAAATCCTCCAAATCGTCCTGAAGAGCGCAAGATTGAAGATTTTTGGGCATTAGTTAAATAGGTTCTTTGTAAGACAGGTGGACTAACAAATAATAAAAAGGATTTCTAAAAAAAGTGGATTAATGCCACCAATATGATGAAAAAAGAAAAAATCTGTAAAATGATGGCATCAACCCGCTATAAAGTTCGATTTCTTGCCAAGCAACCCATTAAGCCCCTTAAAATTAAGTTGAAACTCTAATTTATGTAAACACATTTAATAATAAAAAAATTGAAATAAAAAGCATTTATGGTTTTAGAGAAATCTCAATTTAAAGTTGACCGGATTTTTCCGTGTCCACCCGATATAAAATAATTTAAAAGTATTTTGGTTAAAATGCATTGATAAAAATTGTAAGAATAATAAAAATGCTAAAGTGGGCAAAACTACATAAAAAATGGACTATCAATGACTGTAAACGTGGACCTACGTGTCAAAGTTTTAAATCTTTGGTTTCAAAATAATATTGTTTCTCTGGAAAAAAAAAATCGTTGAATTTATGATAAAGTAATGTGTATTATTGACTGTAAAACATGGTGGAGGTAGTGTTAAGGTGTTTTGGTTAAAATGCCACTGGTGACTTTGTGGAAATAGGGGGAGTAATAGCAAAGGTAGTTTACTTGTACGTTTAAAAAATTATGCTACACCTTTGAAAAGATGCCTTAATGAGAAGCTGTTCATTTTTTCAAAAGAAAATGACTTAAAGCTTAAGTCTAAAACATGTTTTTCAAAAACTTGTTTAATTTATTTGACTGAGTTCAAGAACGATCAAATATTGAATAAATTAATTTAGCGTCCCCAATCACAAGATCTCTCTCCTATCAAATTTTTATGGGTGGAATAAAAAGTAATGTAAAAAACTAATGCCAAATGAAGCATAAGATGTGGACAAAACCTAGTAGTTAGTGGCATAAAATTAACTTCGAAAAATTGGATAAGTTGTTAAGTAGAATGCAAGAGTATGTATGGCGGTTATTGTCACTTACAGTGATTAAAAGGCAAGTAAATTATAAATTAATCTAATTGGATTTTTATCAATTTTTTTGTAAACTTAATAAAAAGATAACACATAATTCAGGTAGACTTTGCTTACAGTTTCTCTCCCAATAGTAAGTAAAACTATGATATCTTATTTCGAAAAGTACGACCATTCGAATAATTATGGATGGTAGTATATGTGATATTTCCAAGAATTCTTTACCTTTAAGAATAAAGAATTATTACCTCCCCTCAACAACATACCCGGATAGGAATAGTGACTACACTAGGATATTTATTAATGGATATTTGGTCTGGATTTGATAAATTTTTTAAAAATAGTGGTGTTTTTCAGAGAAGGTATCAAGGCAGAGGTTAGAATAAAAATATTTCAAATCAGATACTCAAGTGTGTTGATGAGTTAGAAAGAATTGTTTAATCTGAGTTTCCTGATCTTGTTTGAATTGTTCAATGTTTGAAAGACATTAAGGTTGTAAAATATTTTTGCGTTGATAGAATGCTTAAGCTTGGATATCAACAGGCCATACTAAAATTTAAGAATTCCTTTTTACCTGCTCAAGAAATTGCAAATATTCTTGAGAACAAACTTTCAATAAGTTAAAAAGTACATATGTACTTGCGTCATGTACAGCTTTTTGTTGAATAGTACTTAGTAGCCACAAATTTGTGGCTACTAAGTTTGATGAACAATGCAGAGAATTCA